CTCTTGTTGTGGAGCACGGGCTCTAGGTGTGTGGGTTTCAGTAGTTGCAGCACGTGGGCTCAGTAGTTGTGGCTCACGGGCTCTAGGGCGGAGGCTCAGTAGTTGTGGCGCACGGGCTTAGTTGCTCTGCAGCATGTGGGATCTTCCCAGACCAGGGATCGAATCTGTGTCCCCCGCATTGGCAGGCGGATTCTTAACCACTGCGCCACCAGGGAAGTCCCAGAGCAATTGATTTTTTTTTTTTTTTTTTTTTTTTTGTGGTACGCGGGCTTCTCACTGTTGTGGCCTCTCCCATTGCGGAGCACAGGCTCCGGACGTGCAGGCCCAGCAGCCATGGCTCACGGGCCCAGCCGCTCCGCGGCATGTGGGATCTTCCCGGACCGGGACGCAAACCCGTGTCCCCTGCATCGGCAGGCGGACTCTCAACCACTGAGCTACCAGGGAAGCCCGCAATTGATTTTTATATGTTGATCTTGTATCCTGAGAACTTCCTGAACTTACATTTAAGTTCCAGGAGTTACTTTGTAAATTTGTTAAGATTTCCACGTAGACAATCATATCACCTATAAGTATAGTTTTGCTTCTAATATGTATGCCTTTTATTAGTTCTCTTGCCTTAATGAACTAGCTAGAACTTCCAGTACTGTGTTTTTGTTTTATTGAGATATATTTGACACACAACATGGTGTAAGTTTAAGATGTACAACATACCGATTTGATACAAGCAGTGAAGAGAGCAGATATCCTTGCCTTGTTACCAATCGTGGAGGGAAAGCATTCAGTCTTTAATCATTAAGTGTGAAGTTAGCTGTAGATATATTGTAGATGTTCTTTATCAAGTTGAGGAAGTTCCCCTCTAATTCTGGTTTTCTGAGAGTTTTCATCGTGAATGGGTGTTGAATTTTGTGAAGTCCGTTTTCTGCATCACATAATACGGTCATATGATTTTAATTGAACTTGTGGTTTTGAGATAATTGTAGATTCACATGCAGGTGTAAGAAATAATGCAAATAGGGCTTCCCTGGTGGCACAGTGGTTGAGAATCTGCTTGCTAATGCAGGGGACATGGGTTCGAGCCCCAGTCTGGGAGGATCCCACATGCCGCGGAGCAACTAGGCCCGTGAGCCACAACTACTGAGCCTGTGCGTCTGGAGCCTGTGCTCCACAACAAGAGAGGCCACGATAATGAGAGGCCCGTGCACCGCGATGAAGAGTGGCCCCCACTTGCCACAACTAGAGAAAGCCCTTGCCCAGAAATGAAGAACCAACACAGCAAAAATAAATAAATTAATTAATAAACTCCTACCCCCAACATCTTATTTTTAAAAAAAAAAGAAAGAATGCAAATAGATCCCATGTACCCTTTAGCCAGCTTCGCCTAATGATAACATCTTGCAAAACTGTAGTATAATATCACAAGCAGGATGCTGAATGGGTACAGTCAAGGTACAGAACATTTCCATCTCCACATGAATCCCTCATTTTGCCCGTTTATGGACACATCCACTTCCTTCCCACACCAACCTCCTCCTTACCCTTTGGCAATGTCTAATCAGTCCATTTCTATAGTTTTGTCATTTTAAGAATTATATAAATGGAATCACACAGTATATAAGTTTGGGGGGTTGCCTTTTTTTTTTCACTCAGCGTAATTCTCTGCAGATTCATCCAGGTCATTATATATATATCAACAGTCGTGTCTTTTTTTTGCTGAGGAGTGTACCATGGTATACAGGTGCCAGTTTGTTTAATCCTTCGTTCATTGAAAGATTTCTGGGTTGTTTCCAGTTTGGGGCTATCATGAATAAATCTACTATAAACACTTGTTTACAAATTTTTGTATGACTACAAGTTTTCATTCCTGTGGGATAAATACCCAGTAGTGCAATTGCTGGGTCATGTAGGAGTTGCATGTTCGGTTTTTAAGAAAGTACCAGTTTTCATTCCCTCCAACAATGTATGAGTAATCCAGTTTCTCCCATTGTTGCCAGTATTTGGTGGTATTGATTTTTTTTAAATGAAGGTGAAATTCACGTAACAATTCAGCGGCATCAGTACATTCACAATGTACTAAGCCATCATGTATTACTTCAACTTCTGAAAAATTTGGTAGATTGTTTTATAGTCCAAAATATGTCTATCTTGGTATGTATTTCTTGGATGCTTGAAAAGAATGTAAATTTTCCTGTTTCTTGGTGGAGTGTTCTATAAATGTCAATTAGATCCTATTAGATGGTGGTGGTGTTGTGTTCTATATCTTGCTGATTTTCTGTCTAATTGTTCTATCAACTATTGAGAGAGGACATTGAAGTCTCCACTATAAATGTCAATTTCTCCTTTCAGTTATGTTAATTTTTGCTCCATATATCTTGTAGCTCTGTGGTTTGGTGTGTACACATTTAGGATTACTTTTTCTTCTTGGTAGATTGACCCTTTTTCCGTAATGTAATGCCCCTCTCTGTGCCTGGTAATTTTCTTTGTTCTGAAGTTACTTTATCTGGTATTACTAGAGCCACCCCTGCTCCTTTTTGTTTTAATTAACAATTGCGTGTTTTTTCATCCTTTTACTTTCTACATGCCCGTGTCATTATATTTGAGGTGATCATCTTGCAGACATCATATAGTTGGCTTATGTTTTTTTATTGACTGTCAATTTCTGTCTTTTAATAGGTGTATTTAGATCCTTTTCACTTAATGTACTTATTGATGTTAGTGCTTAATTCTGCCAATTTATTTTTAATTTCTGTTTGCTCTCTATTTTTGTTTCTCTATTTTCTTTTTCCTGTCTTCCTGTGGGTGACCTGAATATTTTTTAGAGTTCCATTTGATGATTCATGTACAGTGTTTTGCATGTTTCTTTTCGTATACCATTTTTCTTGCTGGCTCTAGGTATTACATCGTATATAAATAACTTATAAGCATCTACTGATGTCAACATTTTACCAGTTCAAGTGAAGTATAGAAACCTTACCTCTCTTTCCACTGCTTTACCACCCTCCTCTGTTTATAATGTAATCGTTAACTATTTCTCCCACATACATTTAGAACCACAGCACTGTTATAATTGGTGCTTCAACACCAAACATAATTTAGAAAACTTGAAAGGAAAAGGAAAGTCTATTCTATTTACCCATATTTTTTCTCTTTCCATTGTTCTTTCTTCCTTGGTGATGTCCAGAATTTCTTCTTTTATCATTTCCTTTCTGTTCAGAGAACTTCCTTTAGTCATTCTCTTAGGAGAGGTCTGTTGTTAACAAAGTCTTTTAGTTTTCCTTTTTAGTTTCCCTTCATCGAAGAATGTCTTGATTCCCCTTCCATACCTGAAGCATATCTCTCAGCACTTATTTAGATCTTCTGTTTTAGCTGACTTCCTCTGACAATGCTCTGGCAGGGAAAGGGGGAGCACACTCTCTCATTTCTGCCAGGTAGCTATAGAAATCCAGGTTCCCCACTTAGCCTTCCTTGACACCGGGGAGGTCGGGGCTTCTCATTACTGCTGGGCAGTGGTGACAGTTCCAGCTCCCCACTGGGCTTCCACTAATGCCACCCTGGCTGGGATAGGTAGGAGTGCCTCATTACTGTTCCCCATGTGATCTCCACTGACGCTGGAAGGGATGGGATGTGGACCTATTACCGCTGTGCCGGGGCAAAGGTCCTGGCTCTCTGTGAGGTCTCTTCTAACACCACCCTAGCAGGGACAGGGAGAGATGACTCATCACCGCTCTGTGGGAGTGGATTCTAGGTCCCCAGCTGGCCTTTGCTGATGGGGCTGGGTGGGAACACCCTTTTTTCTATGGTGTTTAGCTGAATTAGAGTGGTTCTTGTATAAAAGTTTTCGGCCTTGGGAGGCTGCCCCTCTCCCAGTCCTTTGGCTTTTGCTGGAGCCTTTTTGTCTCTGTTCATTGGCACTTTGGATTGTTGGCTTCCGGTCCTGATCTGGGATCTACGAGGCAGAATGAAAACCCAGGGAGCTCGCCACCGCGGTGTTCCTTAGGGCCCAAGGTCCCTACCAGCCTGCTTTCTTCTCTCCACCTTTCAGGGTCTTCTTATGTTTGTTTTATATGTAATGTCCAGAGGTTTCAGTTGTACTCAGTGGGAGAATGGGGAAAGTACTTCTCCATTTTTCCAGAGCCAGGCATCTGGACATGGAAATTTTAGACCTGGTTTTGTACTGCCAAGTAGATCTATGGGAAGGAGAGCTTCCCTCGCATATGAATGTCTTAGCAGAGCTCCTATTCCACGTCTACATTGTGAGAACAAAAAGAAATGAAACAAAACAAAACGAAAAAAGTCCGCTGTACCTGGGTTTGCACGTGTCCGCTCATCTGTCATGGAGGGCATAAATTGGGGCAGCCGTGATGGCAGCCAGCTCGGTTAGTTTTTTGTAAACCAGTGCACCAGGTTTTCATGAGCCCCTTCCGACGTCCATTGCTTCTTTCCATTGACTGTCAGGTTATGACCTGTCAGCTCACTTGGCTGGGTGCTAACGGGCAGAGTGGGGAGTTGCTCCTTCTATGGGCCAAAGGCTTCAGTAGAGCTGAAGGGGCAATAAGCCATCACGTGATCCAACCGCCATGGTTTTCATATTAAAAAAAAAAAAAAAAAAACCTGTGTCAGAAAACAGAAAAGCCTTTCCCCAGATCTCACTGCGTACCACACAAGCAAAGGCAGACCCAGGAGCCCCATTCCCTGCCTTTAAGCCCGCTGTTATTTAAGGTACGTTGGGCTGCTTCTCCACCCATCCCTCAGCTCTCCAGTGAACTTCACTCTGCCCCATGGCCAGAGACTGCGGTCTCATCCCAGCCAAGTGCCTCCCAGAGGTGCCCTTCATCCCTGGAGGTGGGAGGTGCTCCATGAGGGTGGTGGGGTGGGAAGAGAGACAGGAAAATGAACGTGGCTGACTCCACCTAAACCTGTCCTCAGAATGCAAGTCTGTGATTCACGGGGTCAATGGTCTCATCTTCATGTCTGAAAGACAGTGTACTTTTTGTCTCCCTAAGCCCTGTGTCTAGGTCGTTTGGGAAGCGCCTTGGAGAGTCAAGAATAAAATTGCAGGTCAAACAATGGATGACTGGAAAAGTCGGCTTGTAATCAAGAGCATGCTTCCCCATTTCGCCATGGTGGGAAATCGTCAGGAGCCCAGAAAGCTCCAGGAATCGGTCAGACAATGGGCTATCGGGGGGAGGGGGGTTTTGAATGCTTCTAATCTTATACTTGAACGTAATATGTGTTATTGAAATTCTCTGTGCGAACTTGGTGGCAAGCAACCAACCCAAAATGTAAGGCACTGAAATCTGACCTAGAAGGGATCTAGGAGATGAGCTGACCTTGCCCCTTGTGAGTTTTTGGAAGAGCAGGAAATAGAGTCCAAGGTTCCATGTGGATTCCCAGTCCAGCTCTCTCTGCACTGCACCCGTTCAACTGGAAAGAGATGAAGGGTGAAAAGGGAAAAAGACCTACTTTTTACCTTAATAGAAACCAGGAATGTGGGGATGACAGGCACTAGATATATTATATTAGCTTCCTAGTACCACTGAGAACAGGAAGCCGGTGAGTAGGGCACAGAAAGCTATTCCCATTCGATTCTCTGGCCCTGATGTCCTTTCAAAAACTCATTTGACAAATTTCTGCTTTCTTCCCTTGGAACTCAGATGTCATCCATGGGTCCGAAACTCAGGGTTAGGGATTCCAGAGAGCCATTGGTTGGTTGAATCTGACAATAAAAGCCTGCAACCTCGCCAGTCTACCAGGGTTAGCTCAGTTAATAGGAGGTGCCGCAAACACAATGGCTGTTATCTCAGTGTATTAGGTCCACAAAGGAGTGGCTCACTTAATCTCTGCAATTAATAGAGCAGAGAGGAAATGGCTCTTCTAGACCCGTGGGTCTGCTTCCTTCCCGTTCAGAGAACTGGGAGCTGGGGGCTCTGAGGTAATGTCATTTCACATAACTAGAGGGCCTGGCTTCTCCAATTCCAAGGGCAATCCACTTTCAGTAAGTCAGTTTTCTATTTAGTTGAGGATTCTGATCTGTGCACAAGTGTGCGGGGACATTGTTGAAATCCTGTTGCTGTCTTTTGCCCTGGTTGTCTACCACCAACAATGTACTGAAAATGTGGTATCCAGTTGAGGCATTTACAAAACTTTGTTTACTGGAGTTCCAGCTCTCACAGAGATGGCAGAAAGATGGGATGGCAGAGAGGGAGCAATTTCTTTGGCCTGTCCTGCCAGCCCTTCCGTCAGGCATCTTTCCATGGCAATCTCTACCCTCCATCCTAATTACCCTTTTGAGTTCTTGCTTCTCTTTTATGGTCAAGAACTAAGTCAGTGAAGGAAAGCCTCTCGGTAATGCGTCCAGAGTTCATGGTCAGTTTCAACAGGACTTGCAGTTTCTCCTTTGTTTCACGCTTGTTTCCAACCCTAGGGGAAAAGCCTGGGTGGGTTGTAGATGCAGGATCCTCTTCCCCTTCCCCCCATGTGCCCCACCGACACCCTTTTAAAAAGTGTGACTAGTAAGTAATCGTTTTGGTTTTGATAAGTGTAGATCTCAGCGCAGGATGGGTTTTTCCTAGAACAGGTTCTTAGAGCTGCCACCCGTGCCCTCACTCTGGAGAAGCGGCCCTTGCTCACGCCATTTCCGGGCTAGGCTTCTCTTTGTAGGTGGCCTTCAGAGTCCTTTGTAAGTCTTGCCAAAAATTCACATTCATTGCTTTAGCGTCACACCTCGGTCTTGATCAAAATCAGCCCTTCTCCCTCCTCCGTGGCACAGCTTATTCTCCGCCAGTGGCTCAGAGTGAGCTGTTTCTGAAAAGCCAAGCTGTCCTAGAAGACCATGGATTTGTCCCGGTGGAGGGGATCCAAAAACCAAGGCTTGGGCTCCGAAAGGTCAAAATCACATTCATCTTCTTGGAAGACGCACATGGCCTCTGAGGAGCTGACACCTAGGGCACCCGCTCCTTTGGCTCTGCCTGATGGGTATGCTGGGAGCCAGGCACTGCTGATGCAGCCAGTTCTGGTTTGAACAGTTCCTGGTTTGAGCACAGCTGACTTCTCGCAGCTGGTCAATCCCTGCAGCTTCAAGGAAGGTACCTGGTGCCCACACGGAGCTCTGCTCCACACGCTGAGTGGCTCAGCAGCCCCGTGTTTGTGGACAGACGGACAGATTCAAAGCAGAATGGCCAGTCAGTTCACCATGACACCTGCTGTCCGTATAAGTTAATACAGGGCCCAGGACGGCAGCAGCAGAAAGCAGTCCTTTGTGGGAGCTGGACTGGCACCTCCCAGGTGTGGCCTGGACTGGATCTCGGCTGTTTCCAATGCTTGCTCTCCCTCGGGTGCTTTTATAACATCCAGGGATGACAACCCACACCCCAGCCCCAGGAAACTCTGTGCCTCTGGAAGCACTTCCCTAGCTCCACCCTCCCTTGTCCTGGCAGCATCCTCAGCATAGAAGTCTGACACAGACATTCAGCTTACCTGTTTTTTTTTGTCCTTTCCCAAGAAACAGACTAACAATAACAACAACAAAAAACAAATTTCAAGTCAAGTTTTGTTAATAAAATTATATCAGTCCCAAAGGAGAGTTCTTTGAAACAGCCCTGGGATTTACATGTGAAGTTTTTTTTTTAACATCTTTATTGGAGTATAATTGCTTTACAATGTTGTGTTAGTTTCTGCTGTATAACAAAGTGAATCAGCTATACATATATACATATCCCCATATCCGTCCCTCTTGGGTCTCCCTCCCACCCTCCCTATCCCACCCCTCTAGGTGGTCACAAAGCACCGAGCTGATCTCCCTGTGCTATGCGGCTGCTTCCCACTAGCTATCTACCTTACGTTTGGTAGTGTATATATGTCCATGCCTCTCTCTCACTTCGTCCCAGCTGACCCTTCCCCCTACCCGTGTCCTCACGTACATTCTCTACATCTGCGTCTTTATTCCCGTCCTGCCCCTAGGTTCATTAGAACCTTTTTTTTTTTTTTTTAGATTCCATACATATGTGTTAGCATACAGAATTTGTTTTTCTCTTTCTGACTTACTTCACTCTGTAGGACAGACTCTAGGCCCATCCACCTCACTACAAATAACTCAATTTCGTTTCTTTTATGGCTGAGTAATATTCCACTGTATATATGTGCCACATCTTCTTTATCCATTCTTCTGTCAGTGGACACGTAGGTTGCTTCCATGTCCTGACTGTTGTAAATAGTGCTGCAATGAACATTGTGGTACATGTCTCTTTTTGAATTATGGTTTTCTCAGGGTATATGCCCAGTAGTGGTATTGCTGGGTCATATGGTAGTTCTATTTTTAGTTTTTTAAGGAACCTCCATACTGTTCTGCATAGTGGCTGTATCAATTTACATTCCCACCAACAGTGCAAGAGTGTTCCCTTTTCTCCACACCCTCTCCAGCATTTATTGTTTGTAGATTTTTTGATGATGGCCATTCTGACCGGTGTGAGGTGTTACCAATGGCATTTTTCACAGAACTAGAACAAGAAATTTTACAATTTGTATGGAAACACAAGAGACCCCAAATAGCCAAAGCAATCTTGAGAAAGAAAAACAGAGCTGGAGGAATCAGGCTCCCTGAGTTCAGACTATACTACAAAGCTACAGTAATCAAGACAGTATGGTACTAGCACAAAAACAGAAACATAGATCAGTGCAACAGGATAGAAAGCCCAGAAATAAACCCATACACATATGGTCACCTTATCTTTGATAAAGGAGGCAAGAATACACAATGGAGAAAAGACAGCCTCTTCAATAAGTGGTGCTGGGAACACTGGACAGCTACATGTAAAAGAATGAAATTAGAACACTCCCTAACACCATACATAAAACATAAACTCAAAATGGATTAAAGACCTAAATATAAGGCCAGACACTATAAGACTCTTAGAGGGAAACATAGGCAGAACACTCTATGACATAAATCACAGCAAGATCCTTTTTGACCCACCTCCTAGAGAAATGGAAATAAAAGCAAAAATGAACAAATGGGACCTATTGCATAGCAAAGGAAACCATAAATAAGACAGAAAGGCAACCCTCAGAATGGGAGAAAATATTTGTAAATGGAGCAACTGACAAAGGATTAATCTCCAAAATTTACAAGCAGCTCATGCAGCTCAATATCAAAAAAACGAACAGTCCAATCCGAAAATGGACAGAAGACCTAAATAGACGTTTCTCCATGTGAATTTTTGAGAGTCCCCTTGCAGGAAAACGTGCGTCTGATGTGACGATTTTTCTTGGCCTAAGACCAGGGCCCAGGACACCTGATTCCAGTCTTGCTTCTGCTCCTAACTAGCCGTGGGACTTTGTCCATCCTTTGCCCACTCTGAGGACAAAGATCAAATGAACCAGGAGTAAGAATAGCCACCTTTAGTTGAGTGCTGACTAGGCGCTACGCACTTGCTGAGCATTTGGGCTGCCTTATTTCCTGTAATCCTTAGGATAACCCTGAGATGAAGAGGTTAGCTGCAGGAAACTGAGGCTCAGAGAGGTTATGCAACTTGACAAAGTCACAGAGACAAGGCGCAGCAGAGCTCAGAGCCTGCTTTCTTCACCACTGTGCTCTGCTGCCTCTTGGCTCTGAAGCATGTTGAAAACCACAAAGCTGCAAGCACATATCAGGTGGGAGCAGTTGTCATAAGAAAGTGCAGCACCCTGTCAGCATTTGTTCATTCACTCAGCAGCCTGATGGCTTAATGACTCGTGGTCTGGAGTTTTACCTTTTGAACACTCGGGCATCCACCCAAGCTTAATAAGGCGTCCAGTCTCTGCAGTGAGTGTATGGAGTTTTAACAGGAGGCAGAATGTTTGCTCCCTCCTTTTGAAGTTAAGATCTCCGCTCCTCCCCCAGAACGGTGAGTGGATTGATTACTAGTGCACGAATCTCTAAAATACTAGCACTCCAGATGGGAGCGCTTCAGAGCCCACGTGGAATTGGAACCCAGTCGTCTCCGTCTCAGTCTGCACCCAAAGTTGCGAAGATTCCCCAGCTCTGAGCAGCCGCCTATTCCGTTCAGAAGGCAGCTCCAGAGAAAATGGAGGCGTTAAGGACATTAGACGTACAGTCGGAGAAGGAACGGGATGCTGCGCTCACGGCGCACCTTCTGTGTGTCGTCATGGGATGATAACGAATGGC